ATTTGTTATTGGTTGATTTCTTGATAGCAGCCATTCTTTGTAGGGTGAAGTGGAATCTCAGTGCTGTTTTCATCTGCATCTCTCAAATGACCAGTGATGTGGCACATTTTTTTCATATATTTATTTGCTGCTTTTACTTCTTTGTCTGAGAAATGTCTGTTCATTTCAGATGCCCATTTTTGAATTGGGTCTTTATGTTTGGGAGGCTGATTGTTTTAAGTTCTTTATATATTCTAGATAATAGTCCTTTGTCTGAGGAGCAACTGACAAAAATTTTTTCCCACATTGTAGGTTGTCTCTTAGTTCTGTTGATGGTTTCTTTTGCAGTGCAGAAGCTTTTTAATAAGATGAGATCCCAGTTGTTGATTCTTTCTGCTAGTTCCCATGCTGAGGATTTCTTCATAAAGTCTTTTCCTATGCCAGTGTCTTCAAGAGTTCTGCCTAACTTATCTTCCAGCAAGTTTAGTGTTTCTGTTTTAATATTTAGATCTTTAATCCACTTGGATTTTAATTTAGTGCATGGTGAAAGGTAAGGGTCTAGTTTTAATCTTCAGCAGGTTGAGCTCCAGTTTTTCCAACACCATTTATTAAAGAGGCTATCTTTGCTCCAGTGAGGACAGTCAGTTCCTTTGTCAAAGATGACGTAGCTGAGTACATCTGGAGTTGTTTTCGTGTCTTCCAATCTGTTCCACTGATCCTCAGGTCTGTTTCTTTGCCAGTACCATGCTGTTTTTATCACAGTGGCTTTGTAGTATAGTTCCAAACTGGGACCTGTTATACCCGCTGTCATGTAATATCCTTTTTAGAAATGGAGCATTTTAAAAAATAGTAAACCTAGTTTGAGGGTTTATTCTGTCATTCTGTATTAATCTGGGGGTAGATGAACAGAAAATCACCAGACAGAATAACTCCATAATCCACACCCTCTAGCCCTGGAGCCCTGTGGTGACTCAAGACTGTCGCTGAGAAATAAGTAGTATGCCTGCTTCGTAACTACAGTCCAAAGCTCCTTGAAGTACAGGACTTTCCAAGACTAAAAAGGAACAACACTGGCCTACTTCTGGCTGTATGGTTTTTCTTTTTCCTATAAAGGCATTTACAATACATCATTTATGAGAAAAATTAACTCAAAATAAGAGGAAATGCATAACTGGGAAATAATGCAATATCCAGAAGAATAAAAACCCAAGCAAAACAAAAATTGTCCTCTTGGAATATGCATAAAAGTAAATTCATCCCTTGGTATCTATGGAGGATTAGTTCTAAGCACCTCCCATGGATACCAAAATATATGAATGCCCGAGTCATGCGTAAAAATCACATCATATTTGCACAGAACCTACTTCAAATCACCTCTTGGTTACTTATAATACCCAAAACAATGTGAATAGTTGTTGTACTGCATTTTTAAGGTTATAATGACAAGAAAACAAATTATGCACATGTTCGGTACAGAAACCATTTTCCCCCTGATACATGGATACAGAAGTCACAGATATAAAGGATTGAGAAATACCTATTTACTTAGCACCTGTAATTTTTTATGAAAATTTAAAATATTTATTTTTTCACTTCTATCTCTTATTCCTTAAGGAAGTGAACAAGGGAGAAGAGCTAACCTGTATGAAGTGCTTGGAACAGTGCGTGGCCCTAAAGCAAATCTCAAAGTATGACAACCATGCTGGCCAAGGCTTACTGGTAACACATTCTGGAAAGAGGTAGAAGACTATCCTATGGTAAGGGTAGAATCATAATAAATGTTGGCATAGTGATTAGGAAGATATCCAACACATATGTTAGAGGAGATTTAACAACTTTCTCTATAAATATCCTTAAATGGTTACCAAGCCAGGCATGGTGGTGCATGCCTGTAGTTACTTGGAAGGTTGAGATAGGAAGACTGCTTAAGACCAGATCAAGGCCAAACCTTGGCAATACAATGAGATTCCATTAAAAAAAAGTTTTAAGTTTTAAAAAATGTGTGTGATCTGTCCATTATGCTTTGATGCCAAATATATAAAGAAAGTTGTGCCCATATCCATATATCTCCAAATATTTATTTCAACTCTGATTTTGAAAGCTGCCAGAGAAATTCATCTGAAATAAGATCACAAAGGATCTGTGTGTGCAGTGGCTCTGGTACTGTTCAGGTGCAGAATGCTCAAAGTGGAGCAGTCTCCCTGCGTGCAGTGGTCTGGTCATGGCATCCATGCTATGGGCCAACTTCATACTTTCATCCAGTGAGTCTTCATTTTTCAGCAATGTAAGGTCCACATCCTCAAAGACGTAAACATCTAAGAGTATTTTTAGGGAATGAAATCAGATTTATAATATGGTGTTTGGTTGTGACTTCACTTACACACATACACACATAATGGACATTGCTGATTGAGAAAGTAGAAGCACATCTTTGGAAAAACAAAAATCAGTGTTAGAGAGGGCAACTGCAGTGGTATTTATTTTCAATTATCAAAAGA